AGAGATGCTCCAGTCCCCTCCTCATCCTCGCAGCCCTCCGTAGCCCTCTCTCCAGTAGCTCCTCATCTTTCTTGAAGTGGGGAGCCCAGCACTGGACCCAGCACTGCAGATGGGGCCTCCCCAGGGCAGAGCAGAGGGGCAGGAGAACCTCCCTCGCCCTGCTGCCCACACTCCTCCTAATGCACCCCAGGATCCTGCTGGTGTATCCACCACTTCTCCCAGTTTGGTGTCATCAGCAAGCTTGCTGAGGGTACATTCTAATTCTTCATCCAGGTGGTTGATGAAGAAATCTTGCAGGCAGGAGCCATCACGTTCCTGTGTTTTTCCTGCTAGTTGAGGAACCTCAGCTCTGCCTGAGAACCTCAGTTGCCCAATGGAGAGTTTCCACGAAGTGGGGTCTCTGGGAGTTTGCTCCTTATGTGGAGAGAACTGAAATGAGCTGAAGGGTTACGGTGCGTGGTTCTGCTGCTGTCGAAGGCCCCAGAATGAACTCGCCTGGTCCACAGTGCCCTTAGCTACGCTGCGTTCTGCTCGGGCCGTGTGTCTGTCACAACCCCCTGGGTGCTCGGAGCGCAGAGCTTCCCTCCCGTCGCCTGCCGGGACAAGGAGCCCTCCTCCCCGGAGCCGTCCCTGCGGAGCGCGGCGGCGGGGCTCAGCCGTTCTCCTGACCTGGTTTCCTCCTGAGGTGACACTCCGGGCTTGCTGGAGGACCTTTCCACAGCTCTAAAACCCCTGCTTTGTCAGCTGGGGCTGCTTCCCGCGGCTGCTGGGCTCCTTCATCCCAGCCGAGCTCTTCCCCGGGAGGGAAAGCCGGGTCTCCAGGTTGCCCTGATGCTGCTCAGAGGGAAGCGCTTGGAGCTCCGGCTCCGAGTGATGAGAAGGTGTGGAAGCTGGGTACGAACGCGAGCAGGAGAAGCGGCGTGGCAGCCGGGTTAGCTGGTGACTCTGCTCGTCCCCTCCATGGGACGCCAGCTGCCCCCACGCCGGTGTTCTCCTGGTCTGGTGGAAAAGCGGCGGCTGCTGTTTGCAGCTGGCTGCTGGTGGGCTCGGCCAGTGCCTCGCAGCTCTGCAGAGAGGGACTGGGAGTGCTGGGGGACGACAGGGTGACCATGAGCCAGCAGCGTGCCCTGGGTGCCAAGAAGGCCAATGGAATCCTGGGGTGCATGAGGAGGAGTGTGGGCAGCAGGGCGAGGGAGGGT